CGAACTGAGTCTGATTGTACATTTAAACACGGTCGTAATTGTTTAATGAGTAACATCTCATTAATGAGACAATCAAACTTGTTGTGGCATTTTTTCAACACGCTAAAACAATTGCAAAGGTCATCAGGAATCCTGCCTACGTGTCTATTATCATAGTGCTTGCGTACTGACGAGGTCTTACTTCTATGTCCATCAACGCGTACGAACAGATGGCCACGGGTGTAACCAACATAACCAGCATTGCACTGGTCACACTTGAAGTTATACACAACGTATTGTTGATCAATGAGTTGAGGCTTAGGTTAGCTTGTCGGGAACTCCTGGGCAATCTTGCGGCTCGTAAACACCGGTTGAACACTAGTCTGCAGCTTCACACTGAGATCTTTTAACTGTGTCTTCACGATATTGGCAGACTCCTGGTCTTTAAAGGGTTTATTGTTATCATAATTTCAACCCGTGCTGTATTTTTGAGAAAATGACCTCATTTTCTCAAATTTTCAACCAAGACTTGGAACAAGGAAAATTAATGGCGGTCGTAAATTCTCAGAAATTAAGGTCCAAAAACCACGAGTTTTAATGTTCGTAGAAAATTGAAATTTGACAAGATATCTAGGAAAGACCTTATGTGTACGAAAATGTAAAGAAATGGACATCGAGAATTTCATCATAGTGGCACTTTAAAGTGAGCATTCTTGTATTTTAACTGACGTGAAATGTCCCTTTTTATTAAAATATGGATGACTTCAAATTTAATTTCCTCTCGCGTGGTCAGCTTGAGAGCTTAAGTCTTGATAAGTTCTTCTTAACTGTATTCAAAATATTGCCATTATTGTATTTTTGCCATTATTGCTTGAATGTTCAGCGGAAATCATCTTAATAACCTTCACTTACCAATTATTTTATACATGTATGGAACAAGAACATTCACAGCTCGACCAGCCCCAAGAATGAGGAAACACACAACCACCTTGGCCTGCAGGTTCCTGGTAACAACATGAACTCATTAGAATTGACAAAGATGTGCAAGCCTTGTTACATATGACTTTGACATTACAATGAACAGTGACCAATTTTTGTTGCTTAGCATTATCCACATATTTTATACGTACCTGTCTGAAGGCCACAAGAAAGGCCACAACATCTTTGTTTTCTTCCAGAACCCTTTAAAAGCTGACTGTCCCCTACGATCTAAGGCCTAAAAGCAAAAACAGCAAATAAAATAAAACAATAGTCATGAGCGGTTTTTATTATTTTCGAGTGTTGAAAAGTAATTCAGGTTTTGCATGTTCAACTATGCCTCATGATTGGCTTGTAAAGGTTGCACCACTTTTTCATCCAATCATAACAAAAATGATATAAAACCAATCTTGACTTGCTCATTAGTCCTGCACTTCATGTCAGCTACATGACTGTATTTACTATTGATTGGTTCACTGTACTGTCTGTGTCCTTTGTGATTGGCTAGAGTGATCAATCACTTTGGTTCTGGTTTACGACACTCAATTTAAGACTGCTCTAGGATAAACTATGAATTTTTTTTAATTTAGTAAACTGTAATTTAACAGGTAACATGACTTACATGTAGCTGTTCTCAACAAGTACAAAGTGTGTTTAAACTAAAAATTTCCATAAGATGAATTGTGACTCTGAGACAATCATAAAGTGCATGTGGACTTGTAGCCCCAGGCTACATACCATTTGACTAAGTGGGCAAACTACATTTTATGGACAAAGTATTTGCAAGGGCCAGACACTGCAGATGTTTTACAAAATATTCAACATTTGAATTGTTGAGAAAAACCTTAAGTGTGACAGAACAACTTTTTCTATTACATGGAACTAACTGTAAATCAACATGTTACATTACTTGAACTATAAAATTAATACAGCAAAAGCAAATCTAATTGCATAAGTTATTGTTCTTAATGGTAAGTCAGAATAAAGTTGGCTTACTGATGATCCTTCCAAAAATTTTGGCTCTTCTTCTACAGGAACTTTTGGTGGCTGATAAAGACCTGGTCCTTTTAATCCAAAAGCAAAGATCAACACCACTATTGTATAGCGTGTTATAAACAAACCAAATTCAGCTTCCTGGATCCTTGTCTTCCGACCAAACCACCAGTGAGGATTGTTCCAAGAGATAAAGGCCAGATTCTCTATAACAAATGCCAGAGACCAAAAGAGCAAGAGACCAATGGAATGTCTGCTAAGATGAACCTTGAAATACCTTGAACTTTCAGCACGTAGAACAAAAAAAGCTGTGAGCCATGTCAAGAAGGTTCCTCCATCACTAACCACAACATACCCTTGCAGTCTCTTGGGTTCTATAACAGTCTTGGTTATAACATCAAAGACAGGAACTAGCACAAGGCAAATGTGCAAGAACTGTTGAAATGTGTACAAAAATGATGTACGATTGTCTCCATGAACAAATTCAGCAGGGTTCATTATAGCCTGAATAGAATTTTGACTTATTTGGCAACTTCCATTGATGCGCCTGCATTTAAGTACACAATCACTGGGTTTAACTTCTTCTCTTATGATTTCCTCAACAGAAGTTGACTCTATATCAGTGGACAATAAAGTTCTGCCATGATTATCTTTCTGGATCTTTCTTTTCTTGTATAATTGAATCAAAGCAAGCAGTAATATAAAGAGAAGTAACACGGATGGGGGTACAGTGCCCATGATACATCTTGGTAGGCCAGAGTCTTTGGACACATGACTCAACAAAGTTTCGTTGAAATCACAGTAGTGAGTGCAAATCATCTTAATTAAATGTGATCATCAGTCACCTGAGAGAAAGAATAAGACAGCACATTTTGATATTAATAAGGTAACACCAGAGGTCTTATATCTTCTAGTGGGAAACCTAGTTAGCCATAGGAGAAATCAGATGATACCTGGTAGGTTTAATTTAAATTGGGTGAAAATGTCTCAGGTTCTATTTTCCCTGGGGATCAACTTGTTCACTCATAAAGCTAAATAATTCATAGACTAATAGAAACTAATATGTCATTCAGTCAATCAATCAATCAATCAATAAAATACTTTGCAAGAAAGGCAAACATGCTGCAAAATGTACCATTTTGATGAGAATCTGGCAACAAATAATTTCAATATGTAACTTAGCATGTCGATGTATTATTAATATTATTGAAGTCTGCATTATCAGACAAATTATCTCACTGCTCACAATTATGGGTACAGATGTACTACAATGTGTACAGTCACAACATTATTAATTTCACACATTTGCCTGATATCAACCGACTATCACTATAAATTATGGTGATTGTTTTCTTTGATTATTTCTTATTATAACATAGGAAAGCCAATAAAAATAAAATATAAACTAAACTTTTTCTCTCGAGCTGTAGTCTTTAGTATCTTAAGAAGAGAGGCCTTATATGCCTTTTGGTATAAAGATAGCTGAGTTGATTATGAGAAATAAAGATATTTTATTTTGTGCCATGCCATAGAAAATACAACATTTAGGAAAAAAAAACAAGTTGTTGCTGTGTAGCACTTTAAATTGAATTGAATTACTATATGGTACTTTTAGAGACGTTTTAGGAAAAACCTGTTCATCAGTCGCAAATAAAGCGTTAAACAAACATAGAAAATACAGCCAATCAGAATGCAGGAAAGCTGTTGTATATTCAGTGGTATTCCCATCATGCGCTATGCGTATCTCGCAATGATTGCATTGACTACTGTATTTTCTATGGTATGGTATAAAATAGTTATGAATGCTCTCTCCTGGTATACCATGGAATATCCCGCTTGTCACTTGTATTTTCTCGGTCTACACACTCACCTAAAGGTTTGTGTGTATTCCGAGAAAATACAAGTGACTAGTGGGATATTATTCCACAGTATACCACTCGAAAGTGTTGCATAACTAGTATGTATATAATTTTTAATAATCCATATTTAGCTTTCAACCATATAAGCTTGTAAGCTTATGTAGGAAGACGTAAACTTAAATCTAGCTAATTCATAAGGTGCTGAGTCACGCAGGTTGCTTCAATTTTCTTTCACTAGTATGTACGTACGTTATTCAGTGAGTTATTTACGTATAAAGTGTTACTAGATGTTTTTGTTTTCGATGTTTTCTGATCTCTATACTTAGTCACCGTATGTTAGACTTATTTTCACATTTCGCTTCTAACTGAAAAAAAAAAGAAGCGAAACACGACAACAGAACAGCTGAACAGAAACAATACGCCACAAACCTTGAATATTTTGAGGTTCTAGCACCGTCGTTTAGCGACTTATCTGTTGAAGCACTGGCACCACCTACTGGAAATATATCGCAAAACAATTTATCTCACTTCTAGAGAATCCGTCGACAGAAGAAATGGTACAGCATTGTAGTACATCTGTCCACAACGCTAAGATGGGAAGCATATCACAGGCGTCCAGGCGGGAAACTGGTATGAGGTTGCTGAATTTTCCGGGAATTGTCGGGTAGTTGTCGGTTCGTCTCGGGTTGTTGCTGCTCTTGCTCTTACCAGGCCAGCGAAACATTTTTCAGGCGAAAATTAGATATAAATCATATTTGATGGTTCAAGACTTTTCTAAGTAATGAAGGATAAAGCATATAGCAGTTGCTGCAAACTATGCAAATCGTGAACAGAATCATTTTATATTATTTTATATCGTATTTATTATGTTATGCTGTAAACAAGTGTTTACCGACTTCAACATTTATTTATTGATTTTTGTAAACTAGTTATCAGCTATTGACTTAAGTTAGGTTTCCCCAATTAGCTGATCTATCTAAATACGCTGACACCTGACACAATAATAAGGTTAAATCGTTGAGGAGAAGGCCCTGGGGACGAGGTTGGAGTAATATCGATCCGAACCGACGAACCGATCCTTTCCGAACTAGTAGATCTCGCGGGCTCATGTGGTTTGGAATCAGAGGAATGCGACTAATGCATATATTCATTACATTCGTCCAGAAATGAAATGTGGAATCGACGGTTTTATTTTGAAGTAGCCGGTTTGAAAGCCGTGTTTTATTGACTGAACTGACAAGGAACCGAATACTTTGACCGTGTCCTAACATGTACAGATTGAGCAGAAGATTTCGCAGGCGATTCGGCAAAGACAAAGAAGAAAAGAAGGACAAACAGGCGTTGGACTATGTCATCGTTTTGCTTGACGGCAGTGATCTCTCGTTCAATTTGCATGTAAGGTTTACCATAATTTTAATTTAACAATACCTGATGTGAATACGAGTAGCTGAATATCATCATTGCAACGTTTCTAGAGGGATACTTTGACCTGTTACTAAAATGGTTTGTTTTCTTATGATTTCTCTGCGGACTACGGCCAATTTCCGTCAATAAGCTAATAACGTTTCACAGTTTCTTCATGCACGGTTTAGTCTGAAAAGGAATGTTCTAGAAAAAGCTAATATTTGCTGTAGTCAGACAAAACAGAATACTCTCTGTGAGCTTTTGGGATCTACTTTGATGAGATAAAATCTTAATGTTTTTGAAAGTAATATAAGCTTATTTTATGAATTGTTCCCCAATAGAATGCGTCCGTAGCTTTCGAATTCAGTTAGGTACCTTTACGGTTAATGTTTATATCTGCAGGTGATCACATCACCTATTTTGAAAACAGTTTTTGTGTATTTAGCCGTTTTTAACCACAATAATAGGAAAAGAACAATGAATGGTGCGGGAGTAAGATTAACCTTTAACTTTCGAACAGATTTCAACGTGGGGCGTTCCGGCGGAAATTTCATTCTTGGATTTAGATTACGCTTAGTCACCTTGAATTTGTCAAATCTCGCTTGTTATGGTGAGATCCGTCTGCTGGGATTGTGGTTTTCTTTTGAATTCGTTAGACATGGCTCCATGTTTAACCTCGTGCATAAATGGACGCCCCCCTAATATCCGCTGTGGTTGTGTAACGTGACAGACAAGTTGCAATGTTCATTACAATTGAACACTAACAAATTGAAGTTACCTCGAAGATAACAATCCGAGAATCACAGTTAATTTGTTTTTGTTTCTTATTATATTGGTAAACAATTGTCAATAAGATGTGAATACCATTAGTATTTCACCCAAAGCTTGACTGCTATTTGCGTGTGTTTCTTTAATGGTCTCAAATAGAAGATCCATTTCCTTGCAGCATCATGAGAGTGTTCGTGGGAAGACTCTGACATCTGTGTATTATCAGTGAATGTCATAAAAGGCGTTCCTGTAATATCATATGTGGAAGTATTTAAGTTTTGCCCTAATTTCCTGTATTGCCTGAAGCACCAAGGAGTCAAAAATGTAAATATTGTCATCTATAACTAAGAAAAAGCAATACCTACAATGGGTGACATAAGTGTTGAGACATAGAAGTNCCTACACAACATTGAATTGGGGGGCCAGGGGTATCACAGAATTAATGCTAGATACAAATAAAATAGAATGAGTGCTTTAATATCAAAAAGCATCATTTTCTAGAAGTGTCTCAACTACTTTTGTCGCCCATTGTCTGGAGTCTGTTTGCGTAAACTGTGGTGATTTCAGTTATATTTCCAAGTTCTAGCAAGTTTATTTTTACAAAAGCCACTAAATGTGTGGTTCAGAGTGATTTGTTATTAAAGAACAAGTGACAAGTGTTTTTTTCTCACAAAAATTGCGATACAAAGACAAAACCTGGTCTACCCTGTTGATAAATTGATCCATATTTAGCCCACAAGGTGGTGTTTATTACCACTTTTTCACTTTTCAAGCGTTCAAAGAGTGTGTTTATCGCTTTCATTCAACGCAATTCTCACCATGACACAATGGCTACAAGTTTTTCTCTGTTCAGTTGTCATACTTTGACCAAAAAAAATGGAAATTGTAGTGTTCTATGGCAAAAGTCTCTCAATGTCTGACCTCATTATAATGGTTTACCATAGCAGATGACCTTATAATGACGTCACAGTAAGGTGTGCATATCATTTTGATAATGGCGTTTTACTGAGCACATAAAATTTGATATCAACATATCTAAAGTGCTTTTCAACTTTTATTGCGCAAATTTCCAATGGTTTCCAATTGGTAAACCATTTTATATGGAAAAGTTAATCAGTTGCATTGGCAGGTAGAATAAGAGTTTTCATTCAATAATAATAATAATAATAATAATAATAATAATAATAATAATAATAATAATAATACAGCTCTTTGCAAAGTGTAACTTGTGACTTGGTTGAATTTCAACAGAAAAAAGCCAAAGGACAAGAACTCCTTGATCTTGTTTTCAAGAATCTTGATCTGGTTGAAAAAGACTACTTTGGCCTTCAGTTTATGGACACACATCAAGTCTCGGTATGGGAAATATGTCCAGTAAAAGAGCAGTCGTCAAGATTTGTAATTATATGACTAAATCCATGAGTGGGCAAGATGAACTGAATCCTGCACTGTGATTGGCTACCAGAGCAGGCAAGATGGGGCTATCTTGCCTGCTTTGGATTACCCACTGTGTCCCACAAGTAAAGGGTGTTATTTTTGCAAATAGAAAATCCTTTATTGACCAATTTTGTTGGGTCAAGATGTTTGGATATTAGCCCTGTTCTTTTTTTGCGTGACTGTTTAATTGGACCTCGACTCTGTCTCATTCCATAAACTCGCAAAAAAAAAAGAACTTAACCAATATCCAGCCACCTTGACCTCATGCTTGGGTAATGTACATGTTGCAAAAATAACAAAATGACAAAAATTGAAAATCTTTAAAGTCATTGGAACTTTTTGTACTCACACACAAGTTTTCAAGTTCTCTACAATGGAAACAAAAATAGGCTACGGTACTTTTCATGTCATGCATGTAAATTCTTGACTATTTTGGATTGTTTTAATCACAGCATATTGTCAAATGCAAACAAATTCTTTTTCCCTGCAGCACTGGCTAAATCCATTGAAGAAAATCAAGAAACAAGTCAGAAGTAAGGAAATTTACCTGATGAAATTTTTTTTTAAAACTGAAAATTTTGTACTTGGTGAGGGTAGTTACAAATTAAGGTCCTCATCTTCCTCCATAAGAACAAAATTAGGTATCATGAAGGTTAATTGTAGTAAAAGGTGGTCGTTATTTATTGCACAGGTATGTTGCAAGATGAGGATGTACCTAAATAATTTCCTCATGGCCTGTGTTAACAACATACACTTAACCTTTTTCAGGAACATGCCAAGTCTTAGATAATTTTACATAATGTACAGGACTTTAATTACTTCTATCCAATGCCTCTCAGTACCTTGCTTTATCTGAAAATGAACTTCAGTTTATCTTGCTATTTCTAACCACTTGTTTCCAGTTTATCTTGACTGGCTTTATTTTTTATTTAGCTTAATATCTTTATTTTTAGTGAGTAGATCAGACTACATTTTCTTTTAATGATTTGTGTTTCTAGTTGGTCCACCTTTCACGTTACACTTTAGAGTAAGGTTTTATGCTGCAGAACCACAAGACCTGACAGAGGAACTTACCAGGTAAAAGCAAATGCCAGTTTTCAAGATTTAAGTTAAGAAAATGAGTCTTGTTTACAGAGCCTAATAATTTAAATGATGAGAAAGTAGTTTGGAAGATATAGTTAAATGGAATTTAACATAGTTAACAACTAGAAGCTAGTCTGTTCAGTAGCGTTTTTGTAGGCGGTTGTTAGTGTCTTGGCTGTCTGTTAGCGTTTGTTTAGCGTTTGGTGCGTTCTGTAGTGTTTGAAATAGTTCAATGAAATTTTACACAGTTTATGACCAGGAGCTAGTCTGGTCAGTAGCGTTTTTGTAGGCATTTGTTAATGTCTTGGCCATCTGTTAGCGTTTGTTAAGCGTTTGGTGCATTCTGTAGCATTTGCAGCAGTCGTATGGCTGTAGGAGCCCTGGGGCTGACATTGTCCAGTGGTATTCTTGGTTAGTATGTGTGTTGTCATCCCATGTGCTTGCAGTGTGTTCGTTGCTCTGTTAGCGTGGCGCTGTGGGTTGAATTATAGTAGTTTAGCGGTTCTCAGCATTCCCTCCCTAACCCCCCCCCCTCTCATTTTTTTTTCTTTCCCCTGAGGCATCTGGCTTGAGTGTGATGGGTGCCTGTAGGGGGCCTGGCTCGGGGGGCCTCATGGCTTAATTGCGGGTTGGGCAGGCGAGTCGCGTGTTCTAGCGCCTTGGGGATGTGACTAAGGTTGCAGCCCCCAGGCTTCGTAGGCACCTTCCCTCCACTAGCGACTTGGGAGTTAATGTGTAGTAAAAATTCAGAATTCAATCTTCACTGATTGCTGACAGTTAACCATCTTCTTATTCTGTAGATACCATTTCTTTCTACAAATCAAACAAGACATATCCAAAGGAAAGTGAGTAAAATAATTCTTTACACAGAAAGGGGAAAGGGGTAATTAATGGCATTATAAGAGAGACTGTGCAAGACATTGACACTAAATGCAATAATAAGTTGTGAAATGTAAATGTATTTTTTTCACAGGCTGGCAGTTCCACTAAAGATTGGTGTTGACTTAACTGGTTACAGTTTGCAGTGTAAGTTGCTAAAGAGTCTGTGTGAAGTACATGTGGTTTTTTCAACAAACTTGCTTGATGTCTAGAGTCCTTTGAATATATTTTTCTCACACAATTATTAAGTGGTAGATTTATATAATTACAGCTTTGTTGGATTTAGTTTGGTAGTTTATCTTTAGCTTGCAAATAATAAGATACAACCAGTGGTTTTCATTTACTTTTTAATTCACACAATTTTTAGGAAGAACATTCAGTGTAACAATTGGTACACATCGTGTACACATTTCTATAAATAATTATTTAGATATTTCTCTATTTTCTAATATATTAGATGATTTTCTGTATGTTCACTTCATGAAGTATTTGATTAGAGAAGTTCAAGGCTTGTTTTTTTCTGTGTTTCTTCAAGTGAGCTAGGTGTGATATTTACTCTAGAGAACACATTCTTTTTTTCATGTGCTGGAAATCATACAATTTCTTTATTAGCTACAGTAGGTTTAGTTGGGTTATTACATATTTTATATGACCTGTGTTTGTAGCAGATATAATACTCACTCTGATTGGCTAATTCTAGAGCATTGTTCTCCTGTAATGCTCACAGGTTGATTATGTGCCTGCAAAACAAAGCAAAAGTTTTGTCTTTGTAAGCCATATAATTAACCTTGAATGTTTGGTCTTTATGGGAAAATCTCAAACCTTGGCTTTGTCTTATCACCCTTACTAACACTTAGTTAATGACAAAGTCTTGGTGTGATATTTTCCTGTGAAGACCTCACCCTTGGTTAATAAATAGTGTAGTTAAGGATATGTTAATCAGTAACAGTGTATGATGTTGATGAGCTCATTGATCTCCTTCCATGCAGCTCACCTTGGGGACTTTGATCCAGAACTCCATGAAAAAACAACAGAATACATAACAGAGTTCAAGTTTATTCCAAATCAGGTATGGCCACACATGCCACCTTATAATTAAACAGAGAAACAACGTGGTTAACATTTATATTTAGTTTTTCATTTTGTTTGTTTGTTTGTTTTCATTTAAGACCAAAGAACTGGAGAAAGAGATACACAAGAAACACAAAGCTCTGATGTAAGTATGCTATTCACACCTAAAAACCTTCCCAAACTGTGGGAAGTTAATTTGTATCCTAACATGCTCACAGCACCGCAAAGTCTTTATTCTTCATTACGATTTAATGACTGCAAATAATAAAATTAAGCCATATGGATGATCTGTAAAGGAGTCAGAACCCCATATAAAAACAGACCACCAAAAGGGAAAAAACACAAATAGAGAAAAAAAAGTCTGTGTAATTATGATAATTGCTCACACTGTTGAAAGAGTATAAGAAACATAACTTGTCATTTTTTAGATTTAAGTTAACAGACATTTGATTATTGTTTGATTGTAGAGGCTTAAACCCAGCTGAGTGCGAGGTTAACTTTCTGAAGATTGTGAAGAACATGGAATTTTATGGCGTTGACATGCATTCTGTTGTGGTAAGCAATCTGTCAGGTTTTTAAATCACTTATAATTCCAACATTTAGCAAAAGAGTTATTGTGAGTTGTTTTATTATATGAAACAGGGCTGTCAGTAAGTGTCGTAACCCCTAACAGCTGTTATGGCTGAGTATGTTTGATAGGCCCTTGATGTTATGGATGAAATTGCCTTTTGTTGATGCAATTCATCCACAAAGTAACAAGTTTGTTGCATGTGTGAAGTTTAAGGCTACAGGTGAGTCAAAACTTAACGACAGCCCTGTAAAATGTCACATGCTGTAAAATTGAACTTGGTAACCTCCACTGAGATTCCAAAGATATTATAAACTCTTGTGTCTTTTTTTTTCTGTTACTCTCTTTGCAGTACTACAGTATTTGCATTGATAAACAATGATACATTACTATTTGAATTTTGAACATTTTTTTCAGGGGGGAAATAAAGTGGAGTGTCAGTTAGGTTTAACTCCCCGTGGTGTTTTGCTCATCAAGGACAAGGAGAGGAGAAATATTTTTCCTTGGTAAGTATTCAAATGGAACAGGGCGAGTATACTGGGAAAAGTTGTTTATAATAGCAGATTCATGATGTTAATGAATTTAAGCTCAAGCATTGCATTTGTTTTCAATCCTCCAGGCAAAAGATAACCAAAATATCGTTTAAGAAAAACAGGTTTCTTTTGGACTACCAAGAGGTAAGAGTTTGTGAGGACTGTGTTTATAAAGTTGACATTTTGTTGAATGTTAATTTTATAACTGTTACTGCACAATGAGTGACGGAAAGTCGCAGGAATAGTAAAATCCCCCCTCAAATTATTGTGACACATACGAAATTTAAGGAGACATGTTTTCTCAAGGGCAAAGTCTTCTTGCCCCCGTGTTGGATTGCTAGTTTCTACAATGTGATCTTTTGTCTGAGGGCTGGTTATCTTTCATTATGTTTTCCTGGCGGAATAGCCATTATATGCTTTGGGTGGTGTTTGTTATTTACCTGCTATTACTTACCACTATGTACGCCTTGCGGACCTATTTTCTTCCAGAATTCAAAACACACAGAGAGCTATACCTTCACCTGTCTCAGTTCCCATGATGCTAAGCACCTCTGGAAGAGCGCCATAGAACACCATACATTCTTCAGGTAATGCTATTAGAGTTTAATTGAACCCACTATTAGTATATACTCTGAGGAAATGTTCCGCTTTTTTCAGAGATTCCCCCAGCACAAAAAGTTGCCAAAGCAAGCAATTTTATTTCAATACTGTTTCTTTTGAATGCATATAAACAATGTACAGTTTAAAAGGTAGCATTGTGTTGCGGCAACGTTCTAATTCCAAGTTTGAACGACTTGCTGGAATCGCAAAAACTTGATACCGCAAAACCTTAAGAAACTGCTATTCTGCAAACTTTAATTCCCGCCAATTACCTAACAATCCCCATTTTTGATCTTTTGCTACAGACTAGTGAAACCAACAAACAAGCCAACGAGAACTGCGAGTTTCTTGAGGTTTGGTTCTCGCTACAGATTCAGGTTTGTGCACCAACGTTACAGTGTCTGTATAACATTACTGTTTGTTTGTACTAGCGTTACACTGTTTGCATTATCGTGACAGTGTTCCTATTAGCGTTACAATACAGAAGCGTTACATTTAAGGTTTTTGCTATCGTAACGGTGTTCTCTTTAGCGTTGCAGTACATTGGTGTTTATATTACTGTTTCGTTTTTCGTACAAACCAGCCACCTTTAACATGCTCCGATCCATACATTTTGCTCTTGTTGAAATCTTATAATGACCACTTCTCTTCAAAGATAAGTTAAATCAGGGGAGGGTAGATGGTTAACCAGCTTTGTACTTGACATTTTTTTACAGTGGAAGAACAGAACACCAAGCTCAAAGAGATGCGAGAATGAGCGCCAGGAAATCTTATAAGATTCAAAGGTAACCTAAAGAGTTAACACTCTCTGTAAAGAGTAGCTCGTACATGTATAAGCGGTCCTTATTTCTTGTTACAATAAAATTACTTTGCTTTCAACGCACAGACTTCTGTGAAATTCAAGAGAGTGATGCAATCAAATGGCCGTTAGGCCCAGCTCAGACACCGAACTTTTCATGAGCCTATTTAATGCGAATTTGGACCGACCAAATTATGAAAAGCACGACTGTTGATTCCGACGTCGAACTTAATTCGCCGAACTTTATTTAGTTTGAACCAAAACACGTCGAAATATCTGCGATTATTAGGAAAAGTGTAAACTGCTTGTAAAATATTATGTGTTATAATAATTAATGTATTAGGTTCGGCACAGGAAAAGTTCGAAGTCAAAGCCGTTCCAAAACCGAAATTCCCGGCTGTGCTAGGTGGGAAGAACGGCTCAGCTCTTCCAAACTCAACTAGCCGTTCTTAACTGATTCAGACGCCGAACTTTTCGTGTACTTAATTCAACGTATTAGGCCCCATTTATATGGTCTCGGGTACCCGAGACAACCCTCCACACGAGTTGCCCTTGCCGAGGTAACTTTTCGCTTATTTCTTTGCAAAATTCAACCAACCGTTTGAATTAGGATCGCGAACGCGTCTCGGGGGGTGGGGAGTCAACTCGGGTGGGCGAGTTGTCTCGTCTCGGCAGGTAGGGTAACCCTGGGAAGCGGGACAACTTTTCTTCATATAAACACTTTGGTTCGCCTGACCGGGACAACTCTCGGCGTAGCGAGGGTCACCTAATGCCTAGATTTAGGATTTAAAGCAGAAATTCCTATCAAAGAAGTGAAAATTAACTCAGCAAAACCAACTGTGATCGAATGACCGAAGGAAACTCAAAGAAAGAGGGATATTTGCACACTTGATTAGTCAGTAAGGGTTATGAATAATCATGCAAGGTCAACTTTGATTCGGCCTACAGGGACTACGTTTTCACATATCAACGCTCGATAAAGTAGCCTCGCGGGGAGGGTTGTCTCGGGTACCCGAGACCATATAACTGGGACCTTAGGTTCAGCCATGAAAAGTTCAGCGTCTGAACTGGGCCTTACTTTACACTTTGGCACGTTTTTTTAAACTAGATATTGGCTAATCGGACTTTATTGGTCGCTTCGGCGGCACATCAGTAATCAGGCGAGTTTAATCGAGCCGTGGTTCGTATTTTGGCGAGATGCAGTCGAACCAATACTTATTGTGAGATCATACGAGCCTGAGATGCTGTCGAGGCGCCCCCAAAATCCGGCCTTCAGGTCGAGGATGCCAGGACAGTAAACAAGACTTCTGATTGGCTAGTTACGAATTTGAGTTCGGATACAATTACAACGAAACCATAGTGTACGTAATTTGTTTGTTTCTATTTGTAGAGAGTTTTATTTCGTACCCGCTGTCGTTTTGTTTCGCCCAATGATTTTGCTTTTTAAGGTAAAGTGCACGACATGTTTAACCTCACAACTCTTGTTGATTCCTCGCAGAAGCTTTCTCATGGCTTGGCTTCGACATTCGGCGGAAAAGTTTCCAAGTTTGTGCTAATTCTGCGCAATTGTTTGTGACAGCGTGCGAAAAGGTGTTAAAAGCCCGTCGTTTTTTTTGAAAAGAGGGGTTAGGTTGCAATAGCGTTTTAACAGGTGGATTACAAGACGCATTTCAAAGTCCGTGAGTGGTTGTTTAAAGTACGACTTATTTACGTGAATTTTTATTTCAGGGCAACAAGCGAACGATTTTCAAGAAGGCCAACAGTGGGTAAGTGAACCTGTTCGCTTGAGTTAAAGATTGGTCTTAGATTTACTTGACTTTTTATCTAGAATTCTTTTCGAAATCAGATTTCACAGATTAAAGGCAACGCAACAGTTTATCTCAAGACTGATGTGCGAATAAACTCCTAATTGCCTCGTCATCAGTATTAATTAAAACATTTTGAGACTTGAAAAAACTCTTTGTTCGTGAATTCATTGTAGCACTGTTGATGCGTTTTCATTTCGCTTTAAAGATTTTCGCAGTTTCATGATAAAATTCTTGACAGATCTCACTTTTATTCATTAATTTGGCTCTTGTTCAATTTATCATTGAGCTGTACAATGCTTAGCCCAGGCAGTTCTATCTATGATGGTGAGTCACTATTGTAAGCCGGCTTTAAATTCGGCTTGTTCCACGCTCTGTAGGCGGTTTTCAAAATTGATTTTGCCTCCAGGTGTTCGAGAGAGTAAAAAAACTGAGAATACGATCATTCATTACCATCGTTTCGTGATATGCATGTAAACGCTACGCAATCTGATGTCCTGTTCGACTAATACTCTTGAAGCAAACATCTAAGAAGACAAGAACTCTGCTACAGACATGGATGCAGCATAAGCCGTAAAAGCAGATGTCAAGAGAATCCTCATCACAAGTTACGAGGAATCTCTATCGTGTTTGTACTGAATGTGTGTCTCTTGATAATTTGTCATCTGAAAAAGGCCTTAACTTTATCCGCGCGACACTTTTTTATGTCTCGACATCTGTGCCATGAAAATTATGGATTGAATTGTACATGAAGGCATTGATGTCATTCATAGCAGTACAAGTTGAACACTGAGGTATTTAACTCATTCCAATTTGAAATGTGCAAGTAATCCGAGCTCTTAAGAATAGCCGAATCTTTAAGCTGCAAATTCATAATTACTGGTACTAGATTCCGCGTACGTCTTGTTAAAATACTATCCTGCGTTATCAAGTTTATCGGAAGTCTTTTAACGCAAACTGTTTAGGTACTTCGTCTTTGAGGATGTTTTCTTTCACATCAGTTTGCACGTACGTTTTTGTGTTGATTCACTAACGTAATATAAGTAACAAAGACAGATCAGATGCTGATTATAAATCCTTCACTTTTGAGTAGAACAATTAAGGGTGATTGTTTTATATTGGAGGAATCTAAGAGAATTCTGTTTGTTTTTTTTAAGGTTTTATTCGGGTTGGTTCTCGAGTGTGGGGCAAAGCGTTGAATGGCGACTTCTACAAAGGAGAAGTGACGGGTCTGGGAGAAATGCTGCACATCAAGTTTGATAATGGAGACACTATTGCGCATGACCGTGCTGACACTGAGTGTGTTGTGTTTGATCAAGTGCCCGAGATTAGCGACTTGGAAGTTGGTAAGAAAGCTTCATAACGCAAACCAGTATAAAACGATATGATTCGTAACTCACAGAATCTGACAGATAGGCAAAGTAACAGCATCTTTAGAAACACAGTTGAACTCCGCTATTTCGAATTCCTAGTGGGAAACGAAAAATCGTTCGAAATAGCGAGAGTTTGAAATAGCCGATAGTAAATAACAAAGAATTGTGTGACTAATTGTAACGCAAGATTTAAACTGTAATCAAGGTGTGATCGGAAATTGGCTACCTGAGAGAAGGACATTCATTTGGAACGTTACTCTCATATCTCTTGGACACTTAAAGATATATTTTTCCATGTTTAAATTGACGCAAGTAACATACGGATTCTTGGAAACGTAATTAACTCTGTGCTATAAAGCAACACAACGATGTCTCCCCATGAGATATTTTAGCCACAGACCTCTGTAAATGAATATCAACTGGGTGTTTATCATGTCAGGGGCTCGGTGTTGTTGGCTATAAACTGCTTGGTAGCAGTCTAATGTGGATTACCTTTATTTCTCCAGGGAGTCGAGTGATCGCTCATTGGCCGAGTCTTCCCGCCAAGCTGTCAGGTAAAGTGATTGGCATTGAACATGGCAAGTACTATGTGGAGTATGACGATGGAGATAAACATCAGAACACAATTGACCAGCTCCGGATCCTTAAACCGCCATTGTACTTCGGTAAGTAGATGCTGTGCACATGTCTGGATAAATAACGGTTATTTACCTTCGATCACTGATTGTCTGTGGCCAAAGGCTAGTGGGGCCGAGAAATTAAATTTCAGAAAGAAATAATTCGAATTGAAGCATAACAACCCGGAGGTTGAAAACCCTAACTAGCAGGAGGTAGACCAGTTGGCTATTTACAAGCATTCCGAAAGCATGGCCGAGGAGGTGAATTCGAGTTTACCGTGTATCAAAACCAGCTAGCGATCAGAACAGAACTTGAACTCGCGATCTCCGGATTTCAAGACCAGCGCCCTAACCACTCGGGCAGACTACCTCTTCTAAAACCAAGTGTTCTCATTTCACTCTAGAACTTGATTGAAATTACATTTTAATCTATAAATTTAGTATATTTTTCTCTGTATACAATTTTAGATTAGATAGGCTTATAGTCAATATTTTCCATTTTTCTTTTATTTTTATTTTTTATTTGTGGTGCGTCCTCGAATAGCACTTTTAAGCTAGAAACATGGACACTTACAGTTTGCAACTGAGAGTTCAGCTTAGAAGATTTCTACAAAATCAATGAAAGCATAAAAGCCTCCAGAAAATTAGGCCCAATTCAGTCAATACCACGCTAATTATTCAGGGTTTATACTCATAGGGGTCTCTGGATCCCAGGATAGATGTTAAAAGTTTACCAGGAAAAGCACAAACAAGTCACTTTCTATTTTTTTTCTGTTTTGATGTCTTTTTGTTAAGAAACGTAGAGTGCAGTTTGTAAATGACATTTAGGGAGAAATTGAAAACACAGAAGAAGCTCAAGGAAGCTCAGGCGGGTGGCTATCAGAACTGGACCAACAGGAACGGAACAAACTGGAACAGTTATAGATGCTTATCTGTCAAATGTAGTTGAGTTTTTGAGATCACGGTTTTCTCATACTCTTGCAGTCAAACCAAGTGAAGCGTACCCCTCAATATTACATTAATAAATTGATTATTTGAATATTGAACTCGCTAGTCATTTCAAGAATCAATATTAAATTAATTTTGTTTTTAACATTAAACCCAGTAGCCGTATTCTTGGAACGACTAGTAGGTTCAATTTTCCAATAATCAATTTATTATTGCATTCTTGAAACGACTAGCGGGTTCAATATTCAAATAATCAATTCCTTAATGTAATCTTCAGAGGTACGCTTCACTTGGTTTGACCGTAATTGGTGATACTATGATAAAGAATAGAGTACAGGATGTAATTTAGCCAAGCCCTTGCATTTCCATAATTTTGAAGCTATTTCCTATATTGTTTCCGTCAGACAATTCTTTGTGCTTTTGACAAAGAACTTTCTAGCAAGTTTTATTTGAAGCTGCCTTGCTGTGTTCAGCTGTATTTTCAAGGAAGGATGTTCAAGTAACTAATAACTTTTGAGGTTTCATAGTTTTTATTTGTATATTTTGACGCGCCTGCACGTGTTAATTTGAAAAATTATCCGCTTTTAAAAATTAGAGGTTAGACGTTTTTTTCAGTGTGACTGACATTTTATTGCTCGGGCTGAGGAGAAATATTTGATCAAACGTATTTGAGGTTGAGGAAAGTTTTAAGCAAATGATTAAGTTGTTCCTGATTCATTTGTATTCATTAGCAAAGAAGTAATGCGAAGACGTCTTCGAGCAATGTTTAGTCGTACATGTAAATTAACGAACTGTAAGTGTAACATGAGGTTAGTTTTGACCAAACTTCATCAAACTCTGCCTAAATGTGGCTTAATTCCAAATGTAAGTGTTACCTGTAATTTGAATGTTCCAAGAATTTTCGTTTTGTTTTGAATAATTCACATTTTGCCTGAGGGGTTTCTCCTTCAATTGCTGTCTTTACAGTAGTGATCCGTTTTATTCGAAACTGCTATTATTATTTTTTTTGACATGTGTAAAGAGTCGCGATCACTGTTGCTATATAGCCTTCATGTTAGAAATTCGAGACTTTATTGCCAAAATTTGAGTTGTTTTTCATTCGTCTTTGAGCCGAATATATTCATGTGCCTCGATTGTTTCGCTTTATCAACTCGTGGAAAATTCTTGAACATACAGGCGTTTTTCATTGTTTATGTTATGTCATGTTGTTAATTCAAATGTGGCAAAATATAAGCGTTAGTAAGGAGACGCGCCGGCAAGCCGACTACACTTAAATACTGCTGCAGGGCAAAGTCGTGTTCCTGTTTTCGAGGAATAACGGAAAATAACTGTGGTTATTACTTCGGCCTCCGTTCAAGGCATTCGGACATGAAATTTACATCTTCCAAGAAAGCAAATTTTCAGCGATCTCTTCGGCACTTTATACAAGGTTTGTCATAATTGCCATATGTCATTGCCGTTTTCAGCTGCCTTAGTTAGAGGTAAACGAGTAGGTTCAACCAGATACATCATGTAATGTAGTGTTTTCAGTCAAGGGTACATTTGGAAGACAGGAATTTAATTTCATTAGGGAAGGTAAATTTTAATAGACGTGTTATCTACAAAATCGTCATGTTCTTGTGAATACTTATGAGGTACCCCAGCAATTACCTAGGTAATTCAAAATAATCTTGTTTAGGGACACTTTCTTTAGTGAGCCTTGACATGCGTTTCTTTAGTTGCTTTGGATGTCTGTGGTTTCGCACTCATTTTGTATTACTTCTGTTATAATCTCATCACAGTGGTTATGTTATGCTATCATAGTAACTAATACTTGATAATTATAACAAGTCATTTTAAGATGATAGTAGACGAGTTAAAGTTCGCGTAAGTCAGTATTGTTTACAAGTACGCTGTAACGATGCCATAAGAACTGTCGACTTCGTAAGTTAATTATACCTGAACATTTGTCAGCTCAGTTTAGAATAGATGCGGTTATGGATCTTGAACAATCTAGAATTAAAAACAACATGGGTAATTTATGAATTCGTATACACATTGCTTTCATAAATTCTTTATCATTCGATTTCTTGCCTTGAAACGTCTGAATTTTTATTAATTTGGTTGTGCAGTTCGAAGTTGTTCTTTGTTTCTTTTGATGTTTTATGCGTGAATTAGCCCTCCAAGGTGAACCGTCCATATTAATTTATGTCTTGTTAAGCTATTGCAAGGGACATTTTGGGAGAATGTTGGCCTTAGGCCTTGAGTGACACTACTTTTCTAACGTAGCGAGGTCCATAATGAACATAACGATGGCCAATGCGTAATAAGAAATTTATTGCACGACTTCTGATTGAACAAGAAACTGTTGTTTTAACTTTACCCGGTCCATGTCATTGGGAATAAAGCATTCTGATTGGTTGATTTTAGTTATTGGACCTCTCAGCTGTATTTGTCGTTTAATGTTTGTTTGGGTTCGAAAGAAGTATTTCAGGAGGCAATAGTTATTTTCTGCATAGATAACGTAGTAGCAGCTGAAAAAACTTAAATTTGTCATTTTTGTTCCCCGGATTCGTGGTTTAATTCTGAGAGACAGCCGCCAGGTTTGCTAACAAAGGAGTTTGAATGAAAACTCTGTGTTGTTTAGCCTCGCGACATATTGCCACTGACTCATTCGTTTGTCTAGCGGGGGGGATATTCGGCGGTAGTTCAGCTTGTTGAACCTTTCTAAGATGTGAGTGAAGTTAAACACCTATATCTTTTCCTTGAAGGGCCTGGAGCTAAAACGCGTCGAGGAGTTAGAAAAGCAGAATCCATGAAAGTGACAAGTCTCACCGGACGAACTGTGATAACCACGGAGCTTCCTACAAGGTCTAACTCCAATGGCCATGTTTATAAACCTGACAGAGAATTGAAAGATGACGAACAAGCCTCGTCCTCACAAGTTACTGTTGATGGGGCTATCTCATTACCGTCAACGTCACAGGTTACGAAGATCGACGACAAGTCTTCGGAATCAATCCGCACTTCAAGTGAGCCAGTCAAAAGCGTTCCGATGAAAACGGGCATTTCTGGCGGCCTTCCTGACAATAGACCTAAGAACATGATTCACGCGAGATCAGCTTCACTCCCTGCAAATGTTCGAGTCCGACACGCGGACGCTAATGCAAAAGATGACGCTGCAGGCTCATCATCTTCTTCTGTTTCTCCAAGAGCAGACAAGAAAGCGACGCGTAACAAGTCTTTCGCTGGCATGACTAAAACTTCCCAAGCCAAGAAACCTCCCCTTGACATTTTTTCCCTGCCTGAAACGGATGTTGATTCCGGTATCTCGGTAGCTTGTGAAAGACCCACTTCTGGAAGAGCTTCTAAACGCAACCTTCGAATTATGGATCTGATGAGGAACTCCAAAGAACCTGAAAAGAAATCAGAACAACCCAAAAAGGACAGAACGCGCGGCCAGTTAAAGAGCGGGAAAATATCCGGAATGTCCGCGAGTCCCACGCCCGCTCGCCCAGACATCCGGGTCCCACCAAATGCACCTTATGCGCCAAATTTCTTGGAAACAGATCTTGATGATGGTTCAGGGAAACCAGGCAATTATCTTGTGGACGACCAGAGAAGCTTTCACGTATTTATCCCAAACAATAGAAACAAGTGGGAACACAGAAAGCGCTTCACGTATCTTGATGGGATCTCAGCTTCGGATGAAAAATTGCTTCGAGGAAAAGATGATTCGAGACAAAAAAGGTTTAGATCAGTTGTTAGTGCAGTGAATGTTAATTCTCATTACTACTGAACCAATATTTACTTTTATTTAGTTCTGAGAATATGTGATAGATCTAAGCGGGGTTGACTGATCATTATCTTCATTCTCCTCAGCTGTCTGCTTGACAAATGTTTTGATACTGTATGAGAAATTAGATTTTGGTCACCAGTAAGACTGAGTATAGTATTAACTATTGTTGGTTTTTACCTTGATGTTAAATTTTTGACAATTTTCCAGGCTTTTATCTACGGAGTTTATTATTAAGATTTTCAGTTTTATTTGTTGTATGTGTAATACCTGTAAACTAGCCGGCGAACTGTTGCAGCCCTTGATCCTTTTCAAGTAGTTCTTGGTGCAACTTTTACTTTGGTTTCCGTCTCTTGTAACTTTGTGTGCTGTTTGTTTTATTTCAGGAGGCGAAGTTCACTGCCTGATTTGCGTACATTTTTCAATCAAAAGCAAGAAATTAATAATCTCCAGGGGTAAGAGCGTGTACTAGTCTGACTTGAGTTTAAAGTTTACCATAATTTGTAAATTATCTGCATGTTAGTCTGACGTGTTGTGTAAACACATTGTGATTAATAGTCCTTTTCTTTTCCAGAAATGAAAATAAGCAGTCTTTCAGGAGACACAGAACGCATTCTTTGAATGACCTTGCAAAGATGTAAGTTCACACGCTATTTATTTCATCGTTCTTTTATTCTTAGGGGTAAATACTGATGAAGAATTTCTTCAACATTTTTTGTCGAAACTTTGTAGTTTCATTGCTTGTCCCTAGTTAACTCCTAGATACTGTAGTAAGCCCCTTCTCCATTTTACTTATTTCGTATTTGTTTGTTTATTTGATTACCTAGATGAGAAGTATTTTCTGCTGTCTCTTTCAGGTCACCTTCAAACAGCAAGCCTGCTCCACTCCATATCGACAACTTGTTCAGTGCAACAGAAAATCGGGTGAGTAATACAGCACGTGACAATGCCGCTGTTTGTCGATTTTCACTCATTAATTTCTGTTTTTTCTTTACCTCTTTCACAACAAATTAAAGGCAGCAGTTTGTGAGAATAAACGTACTGAACATTTCCAACGACTTTTCTCGCTGGGTCTAATCTTGTGTGGTGCTTTTCTTTACAGGCTGATTCGCCATTGTTCTCGCCAAACATGGAACAGAGTGCCTCTAGCAACAAACTGTTGCTTGTTACTGACTTATAAGGGCGGGATTGATACGTCATACAGGCTACTGACTTGCCACGCAAGCTTCAGTCATGTTGCACCTCGCAAGTTATTGACTTGAACCAAAGACACGAAACGTCACGCAAGTCGCTGATTCGTGACCATAAAAACCATGATAGTGATAGCAAGAGATTATCATATTTTTAGCGCGTAGCCAGTTTCTTTTTTTATTTGTACAGCGAAATAATTATTATTATTGTTAATTTCACGTTACATTACGGGCGTTAGATATGAAAGTATTCATTTGATTCTCAGTACAATCGTCGCTTATTTTATGCTGCCGTAATAATTTTTTTTTTTTAAATCGTCAACTCTTATGTGTTTAGATGGGTTAACATAACTAGATTCCATTAGTTAGCATCTTTTCCGTGGTTAGTTTCCTGGAGACTCGATATCTTTTATGGTGAGAGATATTCTAGCTGAAATTTTTGTAAAATTATCGGTATTACAATTTGAAATGGAATAATTTCTCGAGAATTACAGCGGTCGTATTGCAATCAAAGCGGTAACTGAATTGAATAGCATAGCAAAGTTTTGAGGATAAGGTTGGTTTAAGGTTTGTCCATTGTAAATTTAGTTTTAAATAGTGTTTATAGTCTTTATAAGCAAATGAGCAGCTTCGTTCCCCCACGAGGTGAATCATCACGAGGTTAATATTCTTGGGATGGTTTGGTTGGTTGGTAATAAGGAAGGGGTAAATTCTCCGTGATTACTGGAGTCACGTGATTTCTAAACTTGACGCATGCGCTATTTTTCATTCTCATGAAACCAAAGGCTATTAGTGTCCTGGTGCCGGAAGTCTTACTTCTGCTCAAATTTGACGAAGAAACAGACAAACTATGGAACCAAGGTGAAATGCCAGTGGTCCGTTAAGCCTGGTTCACACTAGCGACATAACGACTTAAGAAGGACGTTCTGCTGTTATGTTTGCAGTATGAACATCCTGTAATGGTATAATAGCAACATAACAGCATAAACATAATGACATAAGTAGACTGATCTTTTCTTGATGTCTTCATGTCGATGTTTACATTACCGACATAAGCGATTGTTTCGTTATGTCATTGTGTCGTTGTGTCGCTAGTGTCTTAGACTACAAGTAGTCCCTCTTTCGCTTGGTCTGTCGTGCGTGACGCGAAAGAAAACCGCGAGAAATGGCCGCGCGAAATCCTGGAGGCGATTTCGCGCGGCCATTTTTTTCTCGCAGTTTTCTTTCGCGTCACGCACGACGGACTAAGCAATAGAAGAACTACTCGTAGTCTACTAGTGTCTTGTCTAAATTCTAACACTGGAATTAATTTTATGGGAAGAGTTTAAGCTTAGTTCAGTTTCAGCTTTTTCGTTGATAGGCTAACATATTGAGGTTGATTTTAGTTCTCAACAAAATCAATGAAAGAAAAGCTTCTCAATTGTCGATTTCCACCATAATGACAAACGTTAGTCAGTGAGCTGTGGAAACAATGCAGCTCTCATGTCGATGTCATGGGCGTCCTTATTGATGCAAGAGTTGCAAGATATTTTTGTAAAGGACCAATTGCGCAAACTGCTCGCCATGATTTTAACGCTTTTTTATTCACGTTAAGACAAAATTAAAAGCTGTTTAAACTGTGTGAAATGTATGTATTTGAACGAAGGAAACTCGTTTCTAAGCACCACCCCGCATTCCCCAAACTCGCTGGCGGGCCAAAGCGAGAAGCCAGAAAACAGCGCTAGAGTGCGAAAACCCAACACTAGAGCCTGCTCGCAGGCTTCACTTCAAGTTCAATTCAATTCATTCACAATTAGGCTAAGGCTGGTAGAGCGTCGCGTCTTGCTACTTTACGATGCCATCCTCGGACACTTGCGAACTGTAGTATGGTTTGACTACCTCCTGACCCGACTTGTATCCGAGGATGGTACGGTGCACGCTTGACTGCTGACCTTGACAAGAACATTTCAGAGGACTGCGACTGGTACCTCGTTAGTTTCAGTGAGGGTGTACAGCATCATGCCGTATGATGAAAAGCTTGTCATGATAATTGCAAGGCCTCAGCAATTCTAAAGAACCTTGTAGGCTTAAGAGACTAGCCAAGCTGTCTATGGCCGGGCACCGCATACCATGCGAGCAGTTGCATGGTTTCTCCTACGCCGAACCATGGATAGTTGAAGGGGCTGGATTAGAAACTATAGGTCACTACTATCCATGGCCGAACGAAAACAACTGTTCACAGGGTAAGCCAGATCTGCCCACAGAACGATTTTGTCCCGCTAGGTTCAGATCGTTCCACAAAAAAGTCAGATCGTTCCACAATATGGCTAGACTTGCCACAAGTCGACCTTCGCTTAATCCTTCGCTTATTCATCCCCAATTATAGGAAAGGACTTTTAGAAAGTCTACAATATGGCCAGCTCGTTCCACCTATGACTAGTCCTGCCTGCGAAGATAGATATTGCGTACCTAAAAATGTAATGAACCTTGGCCCACTGTAATTCAATATTTACCAGATACAGTCGACAAAGAAAGCAGTTTTATTTCAAACAATTTGCTACACAGATAGACTAAATAATACTCAGAGTAGGAGAGGCGAATCGTAAACCTTTTCAAAATTATTTTCCTACGTTAACTCTTGCCGTGTGTACACTGCAAACCAGTCTATGTTGGGCAAAATACGGTGTCTTAATAAAGATCTCGAACGAATGCACGGAGATCGAGTGCGATCCTCCCGCACTGTGTGCTAACCGCTTAGCGTTCATTTGCGTGTTGAGGGACGACTGTTTTGCAGTGTGCTCTGAAAGAGATTCTTTTCCTTGGTTAAGATTTGAAGCTTACCCCCTTTACACTGCAAATACATTATGGTCCATCGTAAGAAATTGTAACAGAACAAGACTGAAGTGCAGGTGGGGTCCCGAGGGTTTGACATTTAAACTTCGTGGTTCTGCTTTAAAAAAAAAACCTGATTTGAAAAAAGATTTAAAGACAGCAGTTCCACTCTATTAACAAATATGGAGAAAGATAACGTGGTTTGTTCGTCATCACTGACTTCACCGGAATTTTTTCATATTGTAAAATTAACACAACACAAGCCAATTTCCTTATTTTGATATTTGAGTGGAATCTTCAGATTAGTAAACTTGTTCCGAATGTCATAGGACCATGTACAGAGTACCTGCACATGAAAACAAATATTTCAGACAAATTCTCAATAGACCATTTAAGCATAGATTTTTTGACAACAATTTATCAAATTTACAATTGATTAGTATGAAGAAAGCTTTCTACAGCCCAAAGAAGGAAAGTCAATAGCAGATAGTTTTAAATTACAATAATTTCTATTAGCAGCTAAAGTTTATTTACAACGGCTTGAAAGAGGTGTTTCTATTTTAATCAATATACATGTAAAGATTGTAAACTAAATTAGATGAAAATTATTTATCCCTTTGATTGTTTGTCAAAAACATGCTTTTTTTGTATATGAATCACAATAACTTTCAAAATTAATCACTAAAAGCTACAAAACATTACTAAAATTTGATTCCAAACAGTTTTGTCTTTTGATGAAGACAGAAGAAAAACAAATGACTACAATACAGAACTTAAATATCAAGAGTAACTGTATAACTCCCAAGAAAACGAAAAACATTTGTCTAATGTACATGAAGAAATAAATGAGAGTTTGTTATTGTACATTCATTTCTGTAAAAAATTTAACTGTTTTTATATAAAATAAATTTGGAACATTTGCATTAAATATTGAATCCAAGTTTACTTCCTAATATGATTTGTAATCCATTCTAGTCCCTGGTACAATCTGCAGAATAAACAAATGATTCTAAGTATTGCTGTTTACAACGCTTGAAGTCTTGCTTTCTTTCCAAAATCGGGAGGGGAGTACAGGGTTAGGGGTTTGTTAGAGACAAGAATGCAATACCCACAGCAAGTTGAACTCTGCTGTTCTCTTCTATGCCATCCCTTTTGCATTCACATTCACAAAGACTAAACACTTGCCGGATGCTAAGAGAAAAGTCCAGCTACATTGTACAAATTTACAAGCGGTCTAACTGCGTCTTGGGAGTACATGTACATCTCAGTAAAGTGAACCTCAGGGGGTACAGGTGTGGAAGTAGGGTACTTAGGGGTTGTGGGGTGGGGTAAAGGAAATGGGGGTTGAACAACAAAACAATATCAGGAATATTGGGCACAAACCAGTCACTGGCGAATTTCACCCACTGAAAGAAAGCTTATCAGGAAAAACTAGGTAGTTTTGAAAAGTTTTGGGAACATGTCAGGCCATGATAGCTGCCTGGACTCATTAATGAGCCTGCTCAGATTTTGATAGCTACATCCCTGTGATAATTTTTATCAGACACTAAAAATGTCAGTCATTAAAGCACACAACGCAAAACGCCATTATTGATAGTTATCCAGCTTTATCATTGACTTACAACACTTTCCTGTTCAAAGCATTTTCTCAGAACCAACCTATTCCCTGAAAACTATTTTGAATGTTGAATATAACTCTGTCCAAGAAAGTTAAGAATTGGACTTACCCTTCCCCTGTCAGGGCACAACACGCCTGAAAGAGAAAAAACAGATCCTTAATCGTGTCACAAAAAAGTCCTCGGCATCCAACATGCATAATTCTGTTCATATATTTTGCCTTGGATTCTCAAAAACGTACAGGTTTGGATGACAGAATGAGGGATTGCCATTCAGCCTCGCTCAGGACTACATGTACTTCCTATGATTCTTTCCCTCTCTCCTCAAACCCTTCCATTTTCCATGGAGCGCAGTTTATCAAAATGTCCTCTGCATGAAATACACCTGCATTGTGGGCTAGATATTTAATTTATGTATGGTAATTCCAGTCTAATACACTTGAAAACGGTAAAACCTTCAACCCCAAGATCAAAATAAAAAGTTCTCTTCAAAGTGACATTACAAAGGAAAACACTTCCTATGAAATAACACAATATTCTACCTGTATGTGCCATCCATGGTCCTTAATTGAAGTAAGATTTAATTGTTCTGATATTTCTGCCACACTCATAGAACCCTGGAAACATTAAGAAAACAACCAGTATTAACCCACTGTTAAAAGTCCTTGTGTAGCTGTTTCAATGTTGTTTTATGTTCTGAAATTTTTGCAGGACTGTAGTAAATTAAATTTCACTTAAGGTGATTCCTTAGTATTGCATTGCACATCCCTACTTCGCATGATTTTCGCATCATTAGCACACGCACATCATGAAACCATGTTTTCTATTTCTGTTAGAAAACACTGTGACGAAAAAAAGAGAAACAAAATGTAAATTCTCTTTGCTCGCGCCATCATTATGTCAACAGCTCGTGCTAGTTCTGTGTTTCTATCTAGTTACAGAAACACGATTTTTAACCAATCAGCCACATATTCTAAGGGCTGTTTTCTAAAATGTAATATAATGTTATGCATTCTTATCTTATTTATATTTTTACATTGTAAACATTTTAAATTAGCTTTTAAACATAATATTTAGATCTTGATATTTTTATGTTTAAGTGTCCACATTTAGCAGCTTTATTACTGCTATTTTAGCCTGACACTGAAATAAAGGTGTTACTTACTTATTTNGCAAAACCTTCAACCCCAAGATCAAAATAAAAAGTTCTCTTCAAAGTGACATTACAAAGGAAAACACTTCTTATGAAATAACACAATATTCTACCTGTATATGCCATCCATGGTCCTTAATTGAAGTAAGATTTAATTGTTCTGATATTTCTGCCACACTCATAGAACCCTGGAAACATTAAGAAAACAACCAGTATTAACCCACTGTTAAAAGTCTTTGTGTAGCTGTTTCAGTGTTGTTTTATGTTCTGAAATTTTTGCAGGACTGTAGTGAATTAAATTTCACTTAAGGTGATTCCTTAGTATTGCATTGCACATCCCTACTTCGTATGATTTTCACGTCATTAGCACACGCACATCATGAAACCATGTTTTCTATTTCTTTTAGAAAACACCGCGACGAAAAAAAGGGAAACAAAATGTAAATTCTCTTTGCTTGCGCCATCATTATGTCAACAGCTCGTGCTAGTTCTGTGTTTCTATCTAGTTACACAAACACGATTTTTAACCAATCAGCCACATATTCTTAGGGCTGTTTTCTAAAATGTAATACAATGTTACATGTATGCATTCTTATCTTATTTATATTTTTACATTGTAAACATTTTTAATTAGCTTTTAAACATAATATTTA